TCTGGCTGGTGCCATTCTGGATCTGGCTGGTGCCATTCTGGGTCTGGCTCATCCCATTCTGGGTCTGGCTCATCCCATTCTGGGTCTGGCTCGTGCCATTCTGGATCTGGCTCATCCCATTCTGGGTCTGGCTCATCCCATTCTGGGTCTGGCTCGTGCCATTCTCTGTCTGGCTCGTGCCAGCCTGGCTCTGGCTGCTGCTGCCCCCAGGATGGACCAAGCTGAGGTGAAGTCCAGCAGCTGCAGAGCCACTTGGAGCATCCTGCCTGTGCCCTGCAGGCTCCAGGAGTTACCTGGGATATTGATGGGGCTCCCCTGGGTCTGTGGCCCTGCTGAAATGCTGTTGGCACCAGGAATTCTGGGCTCATGGAGCACTGCAGATTAAAAATGTGGAAATCCCTTGATCTTTTCAAAGGGATTGTGCTGTGACTCATCCCTTCCTGGTGCTCTCACAGGTGGATGCTGTAGGATGCCAATATAAAATATTTTATGAGTGTGACATTCTATACTTTGAATTTTCTGACTGTGTTTTTTCCTGAATACACACCCAGAAACTACCATTATGGATTCTGGACTTACAAATTGTTTCAGACTTAGTAGTAAATTACTGGTTAAAGAAATAGTAAATATAATAAGAATAAACCTTGTTGTCAGACTGGACAAACGAGTTTTTAGGAGACTTCAAAGCTTTCCTGAGGAAGTTGTCATGAGAACTGAGGGGATGAAGAAAGGGAAGGAAACAAGAAAGGAATATTGATATTAAACTGGGTGCATATGAGCAGTGTGAGTTATTTATTCTCATTCACATATTGACATTTCACTGTGCTCTGCAAATAGCAGGTGATAGCAATTTTTGTCATTTATCCAGATATTTAAAAATCAATATTTTTAAAATACTCCTACAGAGAGGAAGATTCAGAAAGTGAGAAGGATAAGAAAATCTGGTACTACAGCACCAAGATCCAGCTGGCAGAGTTAATTGAATGCCTGGACAAGGATTACTGGGAGGCTGACCTATGCAAAACCCTGGAGGAGATGCGTGAGGAAGTTCATCGGCACATGGATGTGACAGAAGACCTTACAAACAAAGCAAGGGGCAGCAACAAGTCTTTCCTTTCTGCAGCAAATGGTAGGAATATTTGGTGTAATGAGAATAGATGCTGCACTTTGAATCAAATCTAGTTTATCTTACATCAGAAGCAGGATTTATGTCATGTTGTTTGTGCTCCGTGGCTCTGTAGGTGGTTTGTTGTTTCATGTTGACAACATGCTTTATATTGTAGATGAAATTTTGGACATTATCAGAGCAAGAAAAGGAGAAATAGTGGAAGATAAAAACACAGGAGATGAGGAAGCAGAAAAGGCCAAAAGTGATGTTGATAATGACCAGACAGATGCTGAGAGAGACAAGGAAGAATCTGGAGACCAAGATAAAATTGAGGAAACACAGAGTGAGCAAGATGTGGAAAAAGAGAAAACAGAAGGTAAAGAAACTGACTGTGCTTTAACAGCTCCATTTAAGTGAAGTGAACCCCCCATTTATTTAAGTATTGATGCAATACTTTCTTTGTATGATTCTCCAAGATATTTCTGTAATAGGTGATATTTGTCAGTTCCTTTGTGCTTTGTTGGAATTGTTCTTGTTAAGTAATTTCACCAACTTTCCTACTTCTATACAGCTGGCTCCTAGATACCCTGCCTTGAGGCACAGGTGGCACTTACAGGTTGTGATCAGCATGTTTGTAGTAAGCCACAATTTTTAACTTTTTCCTACTCACAATTGGTTTGTTCTTTGATTCTGAGACAATACCAGCTCATAGCCAAAAAAGGAAGGGAAAAAGCTTCCTGTTTTTCAGCATTATCAAACAAACCAAGCTGCTGAAGTTGCTTTCTATGGATGATGCCAAATGACATCCTGAGGCATAACAAAGAACACCCCTGAAGTTTTGTTGTGCGTTTTACTGTAGAGGCAGCAGTCGTTGGGGATAAAAGTAACAGTGTGAGCTGCAGCCCTGATGACAGCACCACAAACCCTCCTGCAGGAGAGGATGGTTGCTCTGAAGGGAAGGACGCACTGGGGTGTCAGTCAGAAAGCCTTGATAGCAACAACGTGGCAGAGAAGAAGGTGGCATCAGAGCTCCCTCTGCAACTCTCAGGTACAGAAGGCACTGTTACCAATGCCTCTGTAATTTGAGGAATCTGTTTTTCTCTCTGATTTGTCCACTAAAACCATTCCAAGCATATGTCACTCATGCTGTTTGCTTGCAGTGCCATCCTTTACTGCTACGTTGTCATTATTAACATTTCAAAGTTAATTTTCTTGCAACTAGTGCTTGAAATTTGTGGTCCTCCATGACATTAGCATTTGTATCCATGCCTTCCAAAGACAGCTATGGCTAAGCTTTTTATTTTCTGTTTTCTCTATATTTTATTTTTCCATAGTGATCCGTAATGATTGTTAGCATCCTCTCAAAGTTTATTTCAAATCTAATTTGCTGCTGGCTTGTTTATTATTTTAACCTCTCATTTACTCTATAAATTACTAACAAAGTGTTTTCATTCATGAGAATAAACCATTGCACTGAAATGTCAAGATTAAAATTATCATGCTGGAAATTTTAAACAGATTTCAGAATTGTAAGCACAGGAGTTATTGTATTTTAACATGTTTTGTTCTGCCATGTCAGTGACTCAAAGGTAATAATATACACTATTTAAAATCAGACAAACTTGCTTTAGGAATAAGTGGGAGTTGATTAAGTGTAACATGAAGCATGAGTGTACTATTCTAGAATTACTTTATATTACATTTAGAATTATAATCTATTACAGGATTTACTACATAACCAAATGTTGTTCTAAACAGCTGATCATCATTAAAATTATCAGGATTTTCTTTTCAGTTTTATTTTCAGTTCTTAAAAATCTGAACATGTGTGATGTGAACATACTTGGTGTGTTATGTTTTAAAAGGGGGCAGTAAATGTTTTCTCTCCTACAGAAACAGTTCTCCATGCAGTCACAGTCTGCAGCTTTTCAACTTCTGAAAGTCAATGCATCCAAACCTTGTAATAAACTTTTCTGAACAAGAGGACAAAATGAAAGCTAAGATTAATCTGTAATCTGCAAGCCTCATAATACACTTTCTAAGTATAGAAAATGTCCTGATGTACGAGACAAAATCCATATATTTTTGATACATGACCAAATATTTTTGCCAGTTCTCCTGGGTTTTATTCCCTTTTAAAGTTAAAATAACTGTGTAAAGATTTAATGGAAAAGATACAGACTATAATTTTGTTTCAGACACCTTTATGGGTTTGTATTTTATTTTAAAGATTCACTTACATATTTATCATTATTTATTATGGTTTCACAAGTACTTTTCTCCTTCCAAAGCTTCTGTGTGAGTTGTATATTCATGGGCTCTTTTTTTTTGTAGGAAAGTGTGTGTGGAGGTTTTTCCTCATGTCTAATTCACTATATTCACAGCAATGTTTGTGTTCTTACTATGAAATTCATTTTGAAACTGTCAGAGAGAGATACTGAACCAGGATCAGTGAGGCAGTTGTCCCCAAAAGAGGGGGGAAATATGAGTAAAATGCAGAGATAGATGAGAATTTCTGTTACCATCCTTGTTAAATGGAATTTGGATATTAATCTTTATTAACAGTCTGGTTTGGGTGTTTCCATTCTCCTCCAAACAGCAGCCATGGAAACAGATCCATTTCTCCTCATAGTAAAAAGGGAAGTGGATCAAACAGTGGTGGTCACCCATTTGGCACAGCCAGAAATCAGGATGCATTCAGATTAGGGATCCTCTAAGAATTCCAGAATATTTATCTGATCCATCCTTCTGCTGGGAGTGAATATTTCACAAAAAACAAGTTTTGTTCTGTCACTTTTCTCAACAACATCAGAATCCCTGATGCTTTGGATGAATTCTAGAACCAGGCCGATCTGGTGGATTTGAAACAGCTGAGCTGTCTCCCTTTGGCACTGAGCCCAGCAGACATCGCTGCCTTTGCTGTTTCCAGGGATGGGGGCTCCTTCCTTCTGGGAGGGTGCAGGGATTTATTTTGAGGTGGCTGCAATTCAGTGATATTTAGTCCAAAATTCCTCCTGGGGCAGCACAAGAGGTGAGGTGACAACAAAGGAGCTGTCAAGACAGTGACAAGGACAGCTGGGGACCAGGAACCCATTTGAAGCCACATTGAGATCCATCAGATCAGGAAGGGGCTGATATTTTAAGTGGGCTGATATTTAGAGTGGTGCCAATGGAACAGAAATCTGTGGGATTCCTGAGAATGAAGGTGCTGAGGAAGAGAAAACCAAAGGCTGATTGGAAACAAGGGAAATTGAAAGGTGTGTGCTCTGAGGAGCAGCTAAAGAAAATTAAAAGAGAAAATCAGATGCTTCAGGAAGACCAAATTTTATGAATTCTAAATGCAGAATGGTCTCAGGGTTATCTGTGTGTGCATCTAGAGAAAAAAAAATTCTTGGATGAGATACAAATGTATTTTAAGTAGAGATATGAATTTCAGTTCTTCAGAGATGTAGAAGTTGAAACTGCTTGAAACAGAAAAAAAATACTTTCATGGACACAGTGCTCTGAAGGGAATTAATATCTTCTATGTGTTTCCCTCCAGTCCAGCAAAACATGTTCATCTGCATTTTTTTGATGAAAACTTTAAAAAGTTGCATTGATCCAATTCAAAAGAAAAAACTAAAACTGAAGTTGTTCTTTTGTAGAAGAAACTGGTCAGATGGTCCCCAGCAGTGGCTCTGCTGCCCCTCCACAGGCAGAGGCTGAGAACAGCAGTGGCAGCGAGCTGGGCTCTGGCCACAATGACTCCATTAAAACTCTTGATGATGCTGAAAATGCAGAGAGGGGATCCCAGGCTTCAGAGGATTTAGGTAATAATAATAATAATGATGATAATTATATTAATAATAAGGATAATGACATCTCCAACTTTCATTTTATGCGTATTTTCACTAAACTTTCTGTTCTTTTTATAAATTCCATACATCAGTAGAAAACTTCCAATTGTTAACATTGTTTTAAAAGCCTTTTTTTTATTCCTGGGCAGGAGAGAAATCCAATGGTGACAGAAGTGATTCTCCAGGGGCAGGGAAGGGCACGCCAGGCTCGACACGGATGCTCACCAGATTGAGAAATCCAGACAGCAAACTGAGCCAGATGAAAAGCCAGCAGGTTGCTGCTGCAGCAAATGAAGCAAATAAGTTATATAAAGAAACCAGAGAGGTTTGTGCACATCTTGGAAAACTTCAAGAACTACAAAAAATGTTCTGGGAAAATGTTAATTTCTTTAAAGGATACTAAATTTTACTGGAAAGTTTTAAAAATTCATTTTTTCAGGCAACGGAGATACTTAAGAAAAAGGCAGTAATAATAAATTAACAAATGGTGACATTGTTGTACCACAGGAAGCTTTTTCCCCCCATCCTTTGCTCTCTTGAGTGCTCTCTCCAAAGTGATTGCAGTGACCCAGAGCACTGGTGTAGTTGTTTTGTGTGGCTGGGTTATTTGTTGTTTTGGTTCTGGATTTTTTAAGTAGCCCAGTATTTTACAGGAAAGAAATGCTCAAACACTGGGACTTTTTTTGCAGTTCATTGTCTGAATATTATTTTGTATATTAATTTTATTTTTGTTAATTGATTTTCCATGTAAGTTAACACTTAGTGAATTTATTGACAAACAGATTAGTCCAGTGCTGTTACCTATGCCGTGTTTTCAAAGTCCAGGATCCTTGTTTCCTAAGCTGCATGCCTGAATTCTCTGATGTACCAAGGAGGGGGTTCACAGAGGCCTTACCTGAGTTTAATGAAGCTGCTTTCCCAGAGCTCTCTCCCTCAATAGGCACAATCAGAACAGCAAAACAGGTTCCTGTTTGGTCTGAGAAGCTTGGATAGTGTTTTTTAATGTTAAATTTGATCTGGGAATATCCTAACTCTGTAGACAGGCAGTGATGAAGTACATGTATTGGTGTTTGGATAAACAGTAATTTGTTTCTGCACACTGGTGCAGGGTATTTTTATTCTTTTATATGTAGACATTTGAAGCATAAATCATTAATAAGAGAAGGAATTACTTTACAGATTCCCTGAAAAGTTTCCAATATTTCTTTCTTAAGGTTCTGGTGGTCAACTCCCAAGGGGAAGTGTCCCGAGTGAACACCAAGAAGGACGTGGTGATTAAAGGAAATATCAACAACTATTTCAAGCTGGGGCAGGAGGGGAAGTACCGTGTGTATCACAACCAATATGCCACCAACTCCTTTGCTCTGAACAAGCACCAGCACAGGGAGGACCATGACAAGAGGAGACACCTCTCCCACAAATTCTGCCTGACCCCAGCTGGAGAGTTCAAGTGGAACGGGTCTGTGCATGGCTCCAAAGTTCTCACCATATCCACCCTGAGGCTGACCATTATTCAGCTGGAAAACAATATCCCAGCATCCTTCCTTCACCCTAATTGGGCTTCCCACAGGTAAACAAATCAATGGAAATGCATATTCTCATATTTTACTTGTGGTTTTGCTAGCAGTGGTGATAAACAATAGTCTTTGTTTTTTCAAATCTGTGATTTCCAAGCACCGTGCTTCACTATAATAAAGCATAATCTGTGTTTATGATGGAGGCTAAAAGGGCTGTACACTTGAGTAAAGTGTTGAGTTTTTATCCTACCATGAAGTCTTCTTCAAATGGCAAGGTATGTTTGTTCATGTATATGTTTCAGATTGTTCTCTTTTTTCCAATTTAGGTCTAACTGGATTAAGGCTGTTCAGATGTGCAGCAAACCCAGAGAATTTGCACTAGCACTGGCTATTTTGGAGTGTGCAATCAAACCAGTTGTCATGCTGCCCATCTGGAGGGAATCCTTGGGGCATACGAGGTAAAATTAATAAATATTAAAATATTGTTGAATATGAGAATTTTACTTTGGCTTGCAATTGCTAGTTCCTCTAAGCCTGTAAGAATTGTGTGTAAATTGAGATAGTCATTCAGCACTTGAAGTGCATTTTCTCAAACAGAAACAGTGAAAAACCATGACAATATTTTTATAGTGTCATTGCTCCTGCATTTGTTTTATCTGAGCCACAGTCTCAAAACTGCTAAAACTCTGGGAGAGTAGAGAAGCAAATTTCAACACTCTCAGTTCAGTGGAGTCTGGGTTTTGTCTCTCATTTTGTCATAGGAGCAGAAAATAAATGTCTAGTGTTAGACACAATTGCATCCAGCTGTGTTTGCCTCACTGAAATAGCAAAAAAAGTGATGTTCCTGTTACAAGTAATACCTAAAACCTGATAGTGAGCATTCCTCTTAACTTCAGATATTTAAACCTATTCAAAGGGGTATTAGGTGCTGTTGACATCTTATATTTGCTTGCAAAATCCTGCACTTAAATGCACTTAAATCTCTATGGATCAGATTACGCAGAATGACAGCAATAGAAAGAGAAGAAAAGGAGAAAGTGAAAAAAAAAGAGAGAAAGCAAGAAGAAGAAGAAACAATGCAGCAAGCTACATGGGTGAAATACACATTTCCTGTCAAACACCAGGTGAGGGTTTCTGTTGTGGGAAGTACAAAGAAAGCACAGAAACTGTAGATTTCTGACTCTCTTTCTGTTTTTCATTTAAACTTAGAGTGTTCATGTCCTTGTGTTAGTCCTACATGGAAATAGGAACCATGGCCATGTATTCAAGCACTTGATCTTGGTCTGAACTGAATTTGATCTGTGTCATGCTCTTATTGACACTGCCTGAGTGACAGATACTGGTCTGCAAATGCAGCCTTCCCTAATGGAAGGTTCTAGGGGGTTACTGGAATCTTGTCTGTGTGTCTGTCCCTGTCCCACTCCCTCTCCCCAAAAAATCCAGCCTTTGAAAGGTGTAACAAAACAATGGGAACTACTGTAAAAACCTCTATATTCCCCTACAGTAGATATTAACTGCTTTTGTTGGAGTAGTTCTTTGCTCTACACTTGTTGAAACAAGGATACAGGTGGATTTAAAAGCTCCTATAAACATTAATAATGCAGCAAATAGTATCATTAATATTGGGTTTTTTTAAATATTTACAGGTTTGGAAGCAAAAAGGAGAGGAATATAGAGTAACAGGATATGGTGGCTGGAGCTGGATTAGTAAAACCCATGTCCACAGGTTTATGCCCAAACTGCCAGGAAATACTAATGCAAATTACAGAAAATTGCTATCAAGTAAGTGTCTGCATTGCTTACATTGTTTTTAATTGCAGTTATTAGTTAATATTTCTTAAGGAGATTTTAGGAGTAATTTTCCAGCAAATCTTTTGTGGATATCTGGTAATCTTGGTTAGTGTAACCTGTTCAATTGTCACAGACATTTTGTAGCTACATTAAATTGCTTCAATTATGTTTTGTGTAACACTTGTACATCTTTGTATAACCTTATTTAAATTAAAGGTAGATAAAAGTTATGTAGAGCATCAAAACCAAAAAATAACATCTTAAATATTGAGGGGATATATGTGTGTGTGTGTATATATATATATATATATATTTATATATATATATATATGCAGTAGTGCACTGTTTCACTGTTTAATCTATGGTGTTACTACTAGATGCTTAATTCTCTTTCTGAATTTCACTCATGGTGTGCAGATGATTTGAGAGGTAAACTAACACACATTCAAATGTGGCAGAGTACAAAAAATACTCTGGATAATTGAAATCATTTCATTTGTTAATAGCAAAGAGCGAAGATGAAAAATGCAGCTTGGATAAACGAAAAGGTACAGCTAAGGTAAAAGCAGAGAAAGACAGAGCAAAGGATTCTCGAGATCTGCAAGCAAAAGACAAAGATGTTTCAGAAACCTTGGAGAAAGTACAAGTTAAAGAAGAAAAGTTGCGTGAAGACAAATTAGAAGTTGACACAATTTCTGAAAACTTAGATCATGCAAAAGACACAGGTGATAATCTTTTGTTATTGTGAAACTCATGTTATTGCATGAGTAAAAGCATAGAACCTCAGAAATAACTAGTGAAAAACTGTGTAACAAATTTTGTCAAGACATCTAAAATGTTAAATGATTGCCTGTTATCCATTGTGGTAGTGTCTGAAGCTTTTGTTCCTTTTTTAATTGAAACCTTTTAATATGCTAAAAGCCCCATTTATTTCTTAGTACTTAATGTAAAAATATAATTTGTATTCATTATTGGAGAGCTCACTAACTCAGAGTTACTTTTTCTTCGCAGTGGAAAAAGACACCGATGGTGAAAATGATAAAGTCATCAAAGAAGAACCTATGGATGTGGATGATGTGAAAATTGAATCCTCCATAAAAGATGAGGACAGTCATTGTAAGCGGGATATAATCAATGTCAGTGAGGGATTTCATTTAAGGACTTGCTACAAAAGGAAAGTAAAATCATCAAAATTAGATGGGCTCCTGGAGCGGCGAATCAAACAGTTCACCCTGGAGGAAAAACAGCGTCTGGAAAAGATGAAGCTGGAGGCTGGTGCTAAAACTGGGGGCATTCCATCTGTGAGCCCCCAGAAAAACCCAGAGGAGCTCCAAGTGAGGAATGGGAAGGAAGGAGGCCAGTTTGGCTCTCCTTCCCAGGATCCAAGCTACATTTCAGACAAGACCCAAGCTGAAGATGCAGAACAGGACTGTTTGCCCATCAGCAAAGCTGGGGATGAAGATGAACCTTCCTTGCCTTTGTCCAACAGGCTCTCAAAAGAGGGGCAGCTGCTGGATGAGGACAGCCCTCAATCCTCTGAAGGAGACAGCTCTGCTCAGAATGATGGCAGAGCAAACAACCCTGAGCCTTCCATTGCCAGTAAGCATCAAGGACAAGAGGCTCTTGGAGAATCTGAGAGCTCTTTGGTGGATGGCTTGAAACAAACCAGTGCAGAAGGCAGAATCAAATGGGATGTTTCAGAAGCAGCTGAAAAACCCTTGAAACAAAAGCTGCCTATTACCAGAGTGTCTCAGCGAGAGCTTGGAAACTTAGGACCACTGGTACCTGAAAGCAGCTGTAGAAGAGATGCTGTGGGCACTCTTGAAAAACCAGACTCAGAAGGGGATTCTGAACAGCAAAGCAAAGATCCAGAAAACAATTGTATGATAAAAAGCCATATGGAAACCATGTCCTCTCAAGAAAGTGAAATGGAGGAAGAAATTGCTCCTGTAAAGACTGAAAGTAAATCTGAAAAGATGATATTTCACCAAAAATCAGCTAATAAAGATCTAGAATCATTTAAAACAGGGCTGATTTCTGAAAGAAACCTTGAAAGCCAAGGTCTGGAACACATGGATGGGGAAAATGATAACAAAGATTTACTGAGCTCTAAACTAACAGAGGCTAATGGTCGAAAGAAAGGTCAGGAACTGAAAGTGGAGACAGGTACCATGAACAAATATCTTGATCAGACAAATGTAAATACTATTACTGACAAAAAGAATAATAAAGATGAAGAAACTGAGACAGAAAAAGAAAAATCATCATTTCAAATGAATGGAAAAGACAATGATATTAAAGCATTATCAAATGATGGCTGCTTAGTGAAAAATACCTGTGAAGCTAAGGCAGGGGGTGATATTGAACCAAAAGTTAATAATATTAATAAAGCCATTCCAGAACATGAAATAAAACCATTGACTTTTAAGGAATCTTCAGTGAAACCATTCATGAATGGTGACATCATGGGAGAGGACACAAAGGATAAAAATAATGTGGACTCAAGGTCACATCTGCAGAGTTCACCTGAGTCTGGAGAGAATCTTCAGCCACCAGATGAAGTGCCCAAGTGTGTGCAGAAAACTGAAGAAAAGCAGCTTTCTCCTGAGAGATCTGCCAGTGGGGGCTCTGCTTGCCTGCCAGCACAGCCTGTCTGTAAAGAAAATAACCTGAACAGTGAAACAGAATCTATGGAGACTGAAGCAAGTGAGGAGAAGAAAGTTGCTCCATCTCCTGTAACCTCGTGTGAGGAATCCAGCTTGAGCAGTCACTTTGCTGACCAGAATGGAATAAATAAAATGGAAAATATCAATGGAGAAAGTAAAATGAAAACTGTTATTACTGAAGTGACTACCACAACCTCAACTGTGTCCACAGAGTCCAAAACAGTGTTTAAGGTAGCAGAGACTGGAGCTGCCAGTGATGAGAAGACCACGGTTGTTTCCTCTACAGAAAACTGTGCCATCTCCACTGTCACCACCACCACCACTGTCACCAAGCTCACCACTCCAGCCTCAGAGAGTCACTCTGATGTCATCTCTGTGCAGGAGCACAGTAAAACAGTGGTGACCACCACAGTCACCGACTCGCTGACCACCCCAGAGGGCACTTTGGTGACTTCCATGACTGTCAGCAAAGAGTATTCCACAAAAGACAAAGTGAAGTTAATGAAATTCACAAGACCCAAAAAAACCCGTTCTGGAACTGCATTGCCATCTTATAGGAAATTTGTTACCAAAAGCAGTAAAAAAAGCATATTTGTTTTACCCAATGATGACTTGAAAAAGCTGGCCAGGAGAGGAGGGATCAGAGAGGTTCCTTATTTCAATTACAATGCAAAGCCTGCCTTGGATATCTGGCCATATCCATCCCCAAGACCAACATTTGGGATCACTTGGAGGTACATACCTTGCATTTTTAAGAAAAAGTCTAGGATGTGATGAAATTAATTGATTTTTAAAATACAAGTGATACACATGTTTATTCCCAAATATGCAAATTTTGCTATTTATTATTCAGTTTTCTATATTGTTCAGTTAAAGTAGCATGGAAATCCTTTGTCCTGTTGGTTTGGTTGGGTATTTTAAGTTTATTTTAAAATATAATTTTATATTCTGTCATTAGGTACCGACTCCAAACAGTCAAATCATTGGCTGGAGTGAGCCTGATGTTGAGGTTATTGTGGGCATGTCTCAAGTGGGATGATATGGCAGCAAAAGCTCCCCCTGGGGGAGGAACCACAAGGACAGGTATTGTTATTTTCAATTTCTGGTTTTCTTTGCAAAAGCTTTTGCTGTAAATTCTGAGTGTTACACTCAAAACATTTCTCTAAAGGCTCGCTGTCAGCTGTGGCATTTGAATTTTGTTTGTTGTTTCTCTGCCTTGAGTACACTGGGTTGATTGGAGATTTAGCTTTATTTGTTTCTGTTATTAATGTGCTGGGACTAATTTGTTGCAGAAACAACTGAAACTGAAATTACAACAACAGAAATAATCAAGCGGAGAGATGTTGGTCCGTATGGGATCCGCTCCGAGTACTGTATAAGAAAAATCATTTGTCCCATTGGTGTACCAGAGGCTCCAAAAGGTTGGTTTGTTTATTTGCTTGTTTAGACATTCCCCCCACCCCCTCTGTAATCTGGAGAAATTAAGGTCACTGGATCTTTATGCTAATTCAGCCCATCAAGGGAGCAAATGCAGCTTGCCAGGAACTATTAATTTACCTATGGGAAACAAATGCTGCATTTAACAAGTGGACATGATTTATCTGAAGCTGAAAGACCTCCCTGTTTATAAAATGGGACTGAAAACATCCCTAAATCTTGGTTTACACTTCAGTTTCGTTTTACAGTATAGCTTAATGTGTGTGTTTTGACTGCTCTCTAAAGAAACTCCAACGCCCCAGAGGAAGGGACTGCGATCGAGTGCCCTCAGGCCAAAAAGGCCAGAAACACCCAAGCAAACAGGCCCTGTTATAATGGAAACTTGGGTAGCAGAGGAGGAGTTGGAACTGTGGGAGATCAGGGCATTTGCTGAAAGGTAAAGTGAGCTTTTAAAGAAAGTACTCTTCATTTGTGTGATTGTTAAATGAAAGTTCCCCTAGAGAACACAAAGCTGGTCACTGTGATCACCAGAAACGCGGCTGTGTGGGGTTTTTACTGGGCCTTTTGATCCTGATAGCCAAGCTTAAAGTTACAGAGCTAAACTATCTGCTGGTACCTAAACTAAGGTATGCAGATATTTCAGATTTGTTAGAAGTAATATTATATTAATTTTTCCGTACTTATGAATTAACTACTGTTAAATGCTAAAGGTTATTACTGTGATGCATCAAAAGGCTGTAGGCTGCTTTTGGCATGACTTTGTACAGTATTTGTTAAATACTTCTATAATCCAAAGAAAATGACTGTGTACAAGTAAATTGAGCCTGAGAATACTCAAGTCATAAGATGCATATTTTCAGCATCATGTGCTTAAAGTTGGAACAACATTTTTGAATCTCTTAGAAAGAACAATTTTAAATGTATGTTATTACATGGGTTCCTTGCAGTCTCAGATGTGATTATAAATTCCAGTTTTGATTAATAGTTTCCTGTAAGATGTTGCAGTATTTTAGCATTGGGATATTTCAGGCATGTTGCATAGTTTCTTTCTAAATATTTTTAAAGCTGTGACCAGTTTTTCAGTGATCTTTTGTCTTGATGGTTGCTCTTACAAGCGCAGTTAAGCTGAATAAAACAAAATGCAGTTTGATGGTTGGATTTTACATGATGGTATAACTCCCTTTTGCTTGTGTCTTTGGCAGGGTGGAGAAGGAAAAGGCACAGGCAGTTGAACAACAGGCTAAGGTTAGTGAACAGAAGAAGGCAGAGGAGTTCAAGGCCCAATTGGAGGCTCAGCTAAAACACCAACGTTTGGCTGCCCAGCAGGTGGGGAGCTGTTGGTCGTCCCAGCAGTCAGCAACTGCCCTGCTCAGCACATGCACCATAGCCTGGGAAATGCACTCAGCCCTTGCTTACACCATTTTCAAATATTCCAACTGCAGATTAAGCCATCAAACAATGCTGCTGCCACTGTATACATCTGTTGTTTTGAAACAGGGTTAATGCAAAGGTTTGTTCTGGGTTGCCTGTTTTTCACCCACGTCATTTGTAACGCTTTAGGAAGGTTTAGTTTGTTATCATTTTAAAGAAGGGTGGGAAGCACCATCTCCAGGTAAGCTTCTCAGTGTGCTGTGTGTGGTGGAAAGCTGCCTTGGAATACAGCTGACTTGGGAATACAACTGCATTTCATGCTTTACTCAAATTGAATCTTTTGATTTTATTCTATCTTACGTTATCTGACTTAAGCCCATTGGTAATTTTATTTAAATATATGTGGATATGTATATGTATTTATATTTAAATGTATGTAATTAAAATTAGGAAATCAGATGCCATATTGATATTTCACATACATTATTAAGAACTGTGCTTTCACTCAACATATTTCTTCTTCATTTCATCTGCCCTGACAAAAACCCATTAGTAGTGAATGAGTGCTTCTGATTTGTGGGCATTACTGCAATATAGTGCTGGAATTTAAATTAGATAAATACAGATATAATTCCAGTAACATGGGAAAAAATGTTAGATTGGTTGACATTTTAGAAGAGCCTGCTGATACATCCCTTCACTAAGGGAATCTCTAGATTTAATATGCTTTTTCAACAGTTACACCACAGAAGGTCACTGGGTAAGGTAAGGGATTTTGAACCTAATATTTTTAAGCAGGCTGAAAACTGGATTTAAATTTAAAATAATAGTTTTAAAAATTGCATTCTCAGTGGTGAAACAGAATGATACAGTCTGGTTTTTTCTGTAACTGACTGGATCTCAGTGCAGGAAGCTCTAAATTTAGGAATGCTAATAGTAAACTCTGCGTTGATGATGATGTACCAATTACTGACATAGATGCATGTACATGGTCAAAGCCAAATATAGATGGATATTTTTATAAGTTTTTTAAATCTTTCTGATTAATCTCAGACAAATTAATATGTTGTGCAGGTTTGTTTTTTTTTTTAAGTAAAATGTGCAGTGAAATTAACATAAGGCAAGGATTTAAAAGTTGTTATAAAGGAAAATTTCTGGCCGTATTTTACAAATACAAATCTGCTTACAAATCGAAGCAGATTTGTAGTTCTGGAGATCAAGGAGCCTATTCTTCAATCCTCTCCATTTGAACTAAAATCCTAATTTGAGCTAAAATCCTACCAGAGGCCTTTATCTCTCAGTGCTGGGTAGAGACAATGTTGATGTTGTAAAATCTGAAAATACTAATTATCTCTTTATTCCATTTTTTGTGACCAGAAGCGGCTGGAGCAGCAGAAGCAGATCCCTGCAGGAGGGGTGGTCCCTGCAGCCAGCACAGCCAGCAGCACTGCAACCACAGTGTCCACACCCCAGAAAGTCGTGGTGGGCCCTCTGACAGGCCCTGTCCCCACAGGAACCAAAGTCGTGCTCACCACTAAAGTGGGGTCTCCAGCTACAGTAACATTCCAACAGAACAAGAATTTCCATCAAACTTTTGCTACTTGGGTTAAGCAAGGCCAGTCTTCAACAGGTAAGGAATCATTTGTCATGGGAGGAGCATTGCTGGAGTTCATCCTGTGTGTGCATCACATCACATCTTCTCCAGACATGCAGCGTTTTTACATTTCTGGTTATCTTTGCTCTTAACTCTTGCTATGCCAGAAGGACATTTCTGAGATTATACCTGTCTAGTTTCTCCTTGTTCTGACTTCTGCTAGGAAGACTCATTTCTGACCTGTCTCATCAATTACTGACAGTTTTTGTGCCAGTATCATTCATAAAAGCATTCTATAATGTAACATACTGTTTCCAATAAAGAACCTTTACCAAAGAAAGCATGACACATTAAAAAAAAAAAAAAAAAAAGTAAAAATAATCCTGTAGTTTGCTGTTTCATGCTTGAAAAAACAGTCATTTCATTGACTAATGATTCTGCTCTAAACCTGCCTGTTCTGTGTGCCTCAATAGCCACTAGCACAGCTGCCAGCTCAGCCACGAGCATTGCCAGCACAGGGCAGACCTTCCAGCTCTCAGGCAGCCCAGTAACGATGGCAGGGAAAGTGATAACTAAGCTGCCACTCCCTGCAAACAGCAAGATTGTTGCCGTCAATGTGCCGTCAACTCAAGGAGGTAGGGCAAAGGGAACTGAATAAAAACTGTATTCCAGCTTGCTGTTTAATTCTCCTTTGACACTGTTTTCTCAGTGAAGTAAACTATGATGTGAAGGGGGAAAAATATATTTTATATAGATATATAAATACAAGTTTCTACAGCTTGTTCCCCCTGTGTTGCATATTTGTGTCTGTAAGGGGAAAAGTGCAAGTTTTTTGCCTATAAATTATTCTGCATTTCACAGCACAAAATTAGGAGCTTTATTTTGAACAATGTGGAATGAAGCATGCTTTTTTTTTGGTTATCTTAATCAACAAAGAAACTTTCTTCACAGAAATATTAATGCCTACAGCTGCTCTTCACTGATGAGCAGGAGTTTGGCTCCAGACTAAGATTAGCATTTTTGATTCTTGCCTCAAGAAGAGGACTTAATTTTTTTGAGATTTGTGAATGTATATTGAACAGAAAAACTCAATTCTCTGTCTCCATTATATTTAGCATCTGAGCACGTCATGAAGGCTGCAGATTTTGTACTGAAATTTCATAGGTGACAGGAGAAGCATTGCCCATTTTCTTCAGCACCACAGTGTTGTAGGTGAAAGGTGTTTAAACTGCTCTCCTACATTTGAAATTAATCAGATTATAGCTTTTAATGGTTGTATAACACTAATTTGTGGCACTCTGTCAATGCAAGGACTTCTTTGCAGTTACCATCAAACTGATCTTTGTGAAGATTCACACTTTCCTTAATCTTTTCTAAAATATCTGTTTCTTAACTTAAAATGTAGTTGGACTATTGACAAAGTAGAATGCTGTTTCTTTTTACAATATGACAAAGGCTTTCCCAAGAAATGTTGAAAGACTCAAAGGCATTTTAGAAACCTGGAGACTTGTGTTCTAAATGCCACCCTGGAGTTGCATTTACTTCTTTTGCTGGCCATTAAGTCATTAATGAATTCTCAATTTTTCTTTAATTAGGTGTGGTTCAAGTTCAGCAAAAGGTATTGGGTATCATTCCATCAACTACAGGTGCAAGTCAAACCTTTACTTCATTCCAGCCAAGGACAGCAACTGTAACCATTAGGCCAAACACCACAGGGACATTAGGAACAACAAGCACTTCACAAGTAAGATGTTTTTCTCAATGTTATTTAACTCAAAAAAATGTAAGTGTGTATGTTATTTAGCTCAAAAAAATTTAAGTGTGTAGACTTTAAGTTATGGCAGATATTAAAAGTTCTGGCTAATCACTTCAATGGTTTTGGCTCGTCTCAGCAATGGCGTGTATGGATCCTTTATTCCAAAGAGGTACAACAGTTGGGAAAATTAAAACACATGTGGAAAACCCTTCAGGGCATGCTCCAGGGGCTTTTTGCCTGGAAGAAGCAGGGCTGACAGGTGCTGTCCCCTCTGTGTGCAGGTGGTGCAGGGGACGCCGCTGCGCCCCGGGATGACGGTGATCCGGACCCCGCTGCAGCAGCCCGCCCTTGGCAAGGCCATCATCAGAACACCTGTAGTGGTGCAACAAGGTATTCTGCCAGCCAGTAGGTTCACTTTGATATTTCAGTTCCCAGTGTGAAATCCATGGTTTGTTTCTTCATCAATTCATTGTGTCCCAATGCCAAAATCCCTTGTGTTGGTGCTCAACTAATGCCTTTTCAGCTTTTGGATGTGTTTGTTGGAGGCTTTGTCAATAATAATAATAAGGTTCTATATTATATAATAATAACATTATTAAATATATATATTTAATAAGTATATATAATAATATAATGAATTTATTAAATAATAATTTTATTTATCATTGACACATTAATTTAAAATCCATTCATTTGGAAAAAAAAAAAAAGAAAGCCCCACAAAACTGAAAAACCCTAAAAACCCATAGAGTAATTGTGCATTGAGAAAGCCTTTTTTTTGTATGTTTTTTATTATAAAGAAGCTCAGCGTTTGAAAGTTCTTTATATGCATGCAACTGTAGTTAAAATATTTTGCAGACATTTTTCAGTCACAGAAGTGGTTTGTAAAGAACATTTATGTGCAAACTGCAGTGTTTGCTTCACCTGTCTGATCACCATCACACCCCCTTGCAATTTGTGACTTGGAGGTTTGCTGTGCTTATGGTTAAAAAGTTGAAAATGTGTTTCTGAGCTCAAATTCTTCTCTTACAGGTCAGACCCAGCAAGTGGTGACTCAGATAATCAGGGGTCAGCCTGTCTCAACAGCAGTTTCTAGTACCAGCACAGCTTCCTCCAGCACTGGGCAGAAAACCATCACAAGTTCTGGGACAGCCCCTCAGCAAGTTCAGCCTCAGACCCCCCCAGCTCCCCCACGGCCCCAGCAGGGCCAGGTGAAGCTGACAATGGCCCAGCTCACCCAGCTCACACAGGGGCAGGTAAGCACTGCACAGCCTGGGTGTGGAACTGTGCTAACCCATCCTGCCTTTGCATTTCAGCATTTACTGCCTGTGCCCTTAAATTCATATGTCTGGCTTCATTTAGGATGAGCATTGGCATAATTACAGACTGAAAGCAGCTTAAATAAGAAATAAATATAATAAATACTAAATACAAAGTAAGTCGTTTTAATAGTAAAGTTTTAATGCTTGCTTCCTGTTGTACTTCCCAGTAAGGTAACTGGCATCAGGAGTGTTCAGCAGCATGAAAAAGAATCTTTAATGGCAGTAAGGGACATAATTATTCTGTATGGTCTGTTTTGTAGACATTCAGATCATAATTTTGATTACTTGTCTTTTGATTTGATGTGAAGATCTAGTTTGCATTCATGCTATCCAGAATCTCAGAGGAAAAGTTGCAGTATCTGTGAGCAGAGGAGGAAAAAGTTCTTACAACTTCTGCTCAGATCATGAAGGTCTGTTGGCAAAAAATAAGTTGAGAGTCATTTTTGGGGTAAAAATAAATGTCTATGATTTACCACAACATCTGTTCTTCAAACTATAAATAATTCATATAAATGATTGCAATGTACAGACTGCTTGGTGCCAGATAAGATTTTTTGTAGGTGGAACAAGATTTGGGAGTTTAAGCTGAAGGGGAGGGTAAGTTTAGATTAGAAACTGGGAGGAAATTCTTCCCTGTGAGGCTGAGGAGGCCCTGGCACAGTTTGCCCAGAGCAGCTGTGGCTGCCCCATCCCTGAAGTGTCCAAGGCCAGGTTGGTGAGGCTTAGAGCAACCTGGGATAGTGGAATGTGTGAGTGGAATGGGGTGAGTTTAAAGGCCCCTCCCAACCTAAACCATTCCATGATTCTGAGTTTCTACACCAAAGACTCAGAGTTGTGTTGTGTTCTGTGAGTTCACAAAATGTGTCACTCCAACCCAGTCATCTGTTGGTGGTAGAAAAGTTGAAAGAGTCTTTGAGTATTTCATGATCTCAGATGCTGGTTTTAGATTTTAGGAGTATGGTATGTGATAAAAATATTGAATTCTGAAATTCAAACCCCTAATTGTTCTGATTTTCAGCGAAGTCGTCTAAGAATTACATCACTAATACATCAATATTAACTTTTTTTTAGGGTGGCAGTCAAGGCTTAACTGTGGTAATTCAGGGACAAGGTCAAACTACTGGTCAGTTACAATTAATCCCTCAGGGTGTGACTGTAATACCTGGTCCAGGACAGCAGCTTATGCAAGCAGCTATGCCAAATGGTACAATTCAGAGATTTCTGTTCACCCCACTACCAGCAGCTGCTACTACAGCTAGCACAACTACAACCACCGTTTCTACTTCCACCTCGGGTAAGCACTGTTCTGTTCAACAGAAAAAAAACCTTCCATTTCATTGCATGGGAGAACTTATGCAGCTGGAGGTTGTCTGTTCCTGAAGTAAATGTTGTGGAAAACGTCGATTACTTGTGTTTTTTTAAATTTTAAAAGTTTAATAGTAATAAAATGGTTATAAAAATAGTAATACAATTAGAGTAATAATAATTTGGACAATTTGAATTAGGACAAAAAAGACAAAGAGTTATGGGCATCTGGGTACCTTTTCTGGGCAGCATGAGCCCAGAAAAGGACCCACGTTAACTGAGGATTAACCCTTAAAAACAATAGCCTGTTGCATATTCATACACTTCATACATGAGGCATAAATTCCATTCAAACACAGGATTCTGTCTGGTCATCATCAGCTTCTTCCTCTGAATTCTAACAGTGCCTTCAAGGCGGGAGGAAATTCATTTCTTCTGATAAGAGGGCAATAAATTCTTTTTCTCTGAACGATTTAGGTGTCCTGTGACTGCTATGTCACTGCAAGTCCTTTCTTTAAAAAAAGTATCCTACATAGCATAGTTTCTATTTTAACATTTTTTTATAACCTAGAACTATATTTACCAGAGAATTAATACAGCGTTACTTTCTAACACAACACATATAACATTCATTTTAATATTTGCAAGAAGCCAATCATAAAATACACATTTTTCACAGTGTGTTGGAAGTGCATTGCAGAGTCTGTTGGGTTCC